CCGTTTTTAAAAATATTTGTTTTTGCACCCCAACCCCATATGAGAAGACAAAAATGACATCCATTAACAATTTTGTTGACCTTCAACATATTCTGATTTTTGGTATTTTTGTGTTGATTCTCTATATTCACCTTCATTTTTGGATACTTCTTGTTGTGTGCAGTACATCATATGTACTTCTTGGAGTGGCAGAAACTATAAATTGCCCCTAAAGTGTAAAAAACAGTAGCTAGATGAGAACAAATCCATGCTTATTTTGCTGTTGGTATGCTTGGCTGTAAGTTGCTCATTTAAAATAGACAGGAATTTGTAACATAAAATTGCTTACTGTGTAGTGACTTATTCGAAGTGTAGCCCCATACCTATTTGAGGTGTGTGAGAGCAAAAGTACACTCTGTATATCAGTGTAATTCCTTACAGAAGTTATTGACATTCTAATATGTTTATTATATATGCATTTGTTTTATTGTGTACATTATGAAGTGTAAAGTTGAAAAGGAAGTGTGTTTTGAGACATTCTAATGATTGTTTCGATGAACTCAAATTAATGTGTTCTATGTTTCATTTTATTTTCAAAAGAACTCAAATTAATACCTACGTGTGTTTTATGTTTTGTTTTATTTTAATATAAATGCATGTGATGAGCTTCTTAATATACTTCATAGAAAATGTTATTTTAAAACACGTTTTTAAAGTAGTTGTATAAAACATAATAGAGTGTAAAATTCGATGTAAGAGTAAGAATAAAACTTTCAAAGTAATCAATTAATTAAGTAGTCTTATAATTAATCACCTAATCAAGAAAAATTAGTTTACTAGCAAAATTCACACCTATATATTTAACACAAATAAGCTAAATATCCTTCTTGGTAATTCTACATTCAATTAGTCATTTCAACCGGAATATTACCAAACACATTCATTCCACCAACTTCAGTCTTTTCAGGCTTTTCAGCCGTTCCAGCCGTTACGAAACGGGTCCTAATTAAGCGTTTCTCGAAGTGAGGCTTGACATGGTGTACTACTCCAGAATACATCTTAGGGTTAATTGTGAAAATAGGACTAAAAGTTGGTCACTTTGCACAAATAGGACAAAAAAAATAAACTATGTTTTGATAGGATTAATTATGTGTGTTGGACAAATATACCGTTGTTGCTATTTAAAGTGCTTTAATTCATAATAAAATAATAAAAAATAATAAAAATTCATAAAATTACTAAAAAAATAATAAAAATATTTAAATAATAATAACTAAAATTTTAAAAAAATTAAAAAAATAAAAACTTTTATTAAAAAACGCAAAAAAAAAAAAATCACCGCTGCCTCTACCGCCCCAACACCACCACCTCTAGTCACCAAGGGAAAAAACGCAAAAAATGTCCATTACGATTGTCATATTTACGAATACCATTTTTTTGGCATTTTTAGAAAATAAAATGACATTTTTTACACCGATCGGAGGTGGTGGTGCAGGGATCAGGGAGGCAGTATAAGCGGTGGGAAAGGCACCTAATTTAAAAAATTAAAAAAAAAAAAATTAAAAAAACTAAAAACTAAAAAAATCGCCTCTGCCTCTGCCGCCCTAGCACCACCATCTTCGGTCACCGGGAATTTTTTTTGGCATTTTCAGAAAAAATGACAGATTTTACACCAGTCGGAGGTGATGGTGCAGAGAGACAGTACAGGCGGTGGGAAAGGCATCCCTATTTTTAATTGAGTTTTACTAAAATTTTAAAAAAAAATTATAAATATTTTTTATTAATTTTTTATTATATTTCTACGATTTTTTAATTTTTTTTGAATTTATTATGAATTAAACATTTAATTATGACTTTTGACTACCTTTTAGGCTTTTACTCATATTTAAAGGAAGGGTAAGAATGGAATGGAAAAATAGGTATGTTTCCAATATGAGTAATATTATTATCCTATTTTTGAATAAAAACATGTTTTGGCAAGTTCCAGTGACCCTTTTGTCACGGAAGGGGGCCATGACTAATCCGTGACAAAACTTGTCACGGAACCCTTTCCCTGACAAAAACTTTGTCACGCCCATTTTGTCATGGATTTTTTTGAACTATCGATCGTGACAAAATCTGTGACAACCCCCCTTATTTTTGTAGTGACATAACAAGTCTTATTTTGGATTTTTATCATAGTTTTACTCCTATTTGTAGTAATTTCCGTACATCTTATCACTAAAACTTTATCATTTTCTTTTTTAATCAAGAAGATGTGATTCAATTATTTATCTTTTTTCTACATAAACTTCAATCTCACAATTGTTATTTTATTATTTTTTGTGACGGTTAAACTTGATAAAGTTTTAAGGAACGAATTGAATATATAAAGATCAGGGAAAATGGAAACTGATAATCCAACTTTTTAGCGGTCTTCTTACAATAGTCTCACCTTTTCATTATTCATGAATAATCCAATCTTTGCACCTCATCTTCGTTCACTGGTCTCTGACCGATTTATGACCTGCTATTCTAAGTTATACCATAATTCCACCTTATGATCACATAATTATGGTATAATTATGATCACATAGTTGGACGTTGAGAGGAAGACCACCCAGGAATTTTTGTAGGAAGTAGAATTGAGGCTTTGTTTCTCACCCTCAGCCACATAACCGTGATGGCGGAGCACAAACTCTCACTAGTGAAGAAATTAAAGGAACGACCAAATTAAAGGAAATTAAATTTTGCAATGTCACACTACAATTTGACGATGTTGTCAGTTTTAACTTTCAAGTTGCAACTTTCAGTTTTAACTTCTCAGAAGTATTTACAAAAATAACACCATGCTAGATTGCATATTTCAAGTTGATTTTACTGCAACTAGGGATGGACTAAACCGGCCCGGCCCGGCCCAAAACCGGCCTGGCCCATTACTGTTTGGGCCCGGACCGAACCGGGACCGGTTGGCCGGTTCCGGGCTTTTATCCCGTTTGGGCGGGTCGGGCGGACCGGGCTCAGGCCCAACTTTTGGTGAACCGGCCCGGGCGGTTCGGGCCGGGCCCGGTTCATTTTTTTTGTTTTTTCATTTTTTTTTTGCTTTTCTAGGTTAGGGCTGGGTGTTTTGGGGGGGGGGGGGGGGTTGGGGGTGGGGGTGAAGGGGGGGGGGGGGTCGGGTGTTAATTAGAAACCCAAAAAAAATATTTAACTTGACCCGGGCTCGGCCCGGCCCGGTTAGGCCCGGACCCGGTATTAACCCGGGCCGGTTCTGGGCCCAACATTTTGCAAAAAAAGCCCGCCCGGGCCCGGTCCGGAACCGAACCGGGTCCATCCCTAACTGCAACATAGTGGAATTCAATGACTGAGATTAATTCTCATTTCTCACATCAGATAGTTTTGATGAGAAATACCGTCCAAACTTGTCTGTTTGAGGTGCTTTGATGTGGAATTTTTTAATGAAATTTTGTGGGCATGTTCTTCATGGAGCATACATTACGTCCACAAAATTTCAGCTTCAAACTCAATCGGAAAAACGGTTAAATAAATTATTGAAAACACTATGTTTTTTATACATGTTTTGACACATTGTTTTTTCAATAATTTATTTAACTAATTTTCTGATTGAATTTTATGCTGAAAATTTATTGACATAATCTGCACTTTAAATACCTTAAATAAATAAGTTTGGACGGTGGTTCCTGTGATCATAAATGAGATATTTGGAAAAGAAGAGGGATACAATTTGCCAACCAAAAATTATTCGTGATGGGTAACATGTAGGGGCTCAAAGCACCCCTGCAATCGACTCAATCACTTCTTTTAACTCCCAAACTAATCATTCAGTGAGCCCATTAAGAGAGGCTCCACAACAATTTTAAATGGTCCAGAATTGTGCTTTAGTGGGTCAGGCTTTGTAGGGTCATTAAAACCCACCACAGATCTTTATGGTGCCAGCACTAAGGACCCCATTCCCCCCTATAAAAATTTGTGAAAAGTAGAAATATCCAGCCACCTGTTTGCCAGTTCGGTCCTAAATAAAGTTCAGTATTTGACTTCACACAGACCTTTGAACTCTCTTGACTTCTTAATTTAATCTTAATTCTAAAAATTGTGAGATTCCAATAAAAAAAAATGATCGTACTGGGGTGCAAGACATTTTAGACCGAGATATATAGAAGTTGAATGATAAGTCCGTATTTCGATACACATTTGATGCATGTTGAGATCGTTTTTTGATGGTTTTTCGAGCTTATAGGTGTCTTAACTCTCAATTTTAACTCAAGTTATATTTTACTGGGCGTTGATTCGAGTTTGGTATTTTTGGAGTCAAAATCAGGAAATTGAGCCCAACACCGACATTGGCAAATTAATCGAGAGGACTCGAGACACATTTCGGAGTTATTGAGAATTATTGAAGATCAACGATTCATTAAAGGAGTGATTTAAAGTCAAGAGAGCTCAAGGATAAGAAAATAATTTGGAATAACAGATCATAAATCGGTCATGGACCAGTGAATGAAGATGTGGTGCAAAAGTTGGATTATTCATGAATAATGAAAATGTGGGACTATTATAAGAAGACCGCTAAAAGGTTGGATTATTAGATTCCATTTTCCCTAAAGATTATGAATAAAAATAACTTTTCTGAGCTTGCATCATATTTCCAACAAGTATGTACTTGCCCAAAATAATTATCTCCATTTTTAAGTAAAAAAATGTGTAAGCATATATTGTACCGTTCTAGTTTAAACTTTTCACTTTTAAATGTTTCAATTAAAAGTCGATTTGGTGGTCCTATTTTTCGGTTTATTAGCCTTTTCAACTTACTTTTTCACCAAATAAGTAACTTTTATTTCACACGCTGCGTTATTCATATTCAAAATAATAAGTAAGGTTGAAGTTACTTTTCTGATTGCATTAGCTAACGTAACGTTATTGTAGAGGATCATTTTAGATATTTTTTATTATAATTTGTTCTTTATTTAATTATTAATAAAATATATATTTTAAATCTACTTTTCCATAATTCAACGAAATCCACAAATCATCGAGAACTTCATAAATTTCAATAGAACTTCATGTATTTTAAATCTTAACAATATTGTTACACGTTGTGGCAACGCCAGCGGAGCAGGCGGAGCTGGCTGCGTCACGGGGGCGGACGGAGAGAGGGGAGATGAGGTAGCTAGTAGCATGCAGCTTGTTCCAACAGACAGCATCAAGATCTAGTAGGTGAACGTATAGTTTGGTGTTAAGTAGGGAGGTGAGCATCTTCCGGTGCCTTTGTACCCTAACAGTACAATCAGGGTTTGCCATTCGTACACCTAATTAAATGCCTCTAGTACTACTCCATATTTAAGTAGTGGCTTACAGCGAGAGAGAAGAAACAAAGATTTAATGCATGCAACAAGGCATCTTCGATGTGATCTCATAATGCTATGCAGCGAGAGAGAAGAAACAATAATGTTCTTCACTTGCGCTGGAAATTTATGGGCTTTGTCCACTGCTCTCAATCATTTTCAAATGTCCATTTTCTATACTTGATTAGCTCAGTCCGAAATCCTGTTAATCCTAGTCCTTGCTTGTATAAATACAAGCAATTCTAGAAATCATTACTTCTTAATTCAGAATATTCACGTGCACAGTTCTGAAGGTAGAGTGGAATAATGATTTAATTTGAGCAAGTACTTATACATTTGATAATTGATATGCATATGCTAGTGATGTTGTATATACTATACAATTGTATCTGCCAACATATATACTCCCTCCGTCCCGGTCATTTCTTCCAATTTTGACCGGTATCACAAATTTAAGTAGTGGGAATAAAGTGAAAATGTATGGTTGTAGTTGTGTAAGAAAAAGATGAATGAATGTGAACCACATATTTTTTTCAAAAGTGGAAGTTGGAAGAATTAATTGGGACGGCCCAAAAAGGAAAATTGGAAGAAATGACCGGGACGGAGGGAGTATATATATATATATATATATACACACACTAGTATATAATATCTGATGTTCACTCGTAGGTCGTGTTCAAGAACGAAGTAGTTCAAGAACCAAATAGCTCTGTCTCTCTAAAATCATCAACATATATATGATTATAAACCTAACAATCATTCCTGGCCGGTTATAAACAAATAAAAATTAAATAATAATACAAACCACAAATCATATAAAGATCATGCATACAAACCCTCAAAATGAAACACTATATCAAGAATGCGCGCACCTTCATCAATCCCAAATTACTGAGAAAATTGTTCCCTATTTATAATGAAATATTTAATGGGAGATGGAGAAATTTGTTAAATCGGTCCGATATTGGTCCTATAACTTCACATACTTGCAAAATACATCCTCCAACTAATGTATTTAAAATTTGGCATGGAAGTTACATGTCATCTCACCCTATTGTAATCTTTTCCTAACTTATTGCTGACTTGGGTTTGATCCCCTTTTTACGGATCACTCCCAAACACTTTACTGTGCTCTCCCAACCCCCCATTACCGTAATAAAAGCACAAAACCCAAGAGAAGAAGGGAGCTAGGTTGCGTAACCCTTGGTCTGGCCGGCTTCTCCACATATTGAAGGAAGGTGAGTGTGTGTTCTTTTAACTTGCAAATAATGAAATAATGTCTCTCACTCAAGGATCTATGGAATGTCATTGTGGTAAGAAGGCCGTTGTTTTAACTTCATGCACCGATGACAACCCATGAAGGAGGTTCCATGTGTGCTCCAGAAACAGATTAAGGCTATGTTTGACAGGCATAAGTCTCTACCTTCTAGTTTTTGTACTGTTCAAAAAGTCTCTAAAAGCTTCTAGTTATATGTTTGTCATGACAATTTTAAGAGCTTTTTCAAAAATTAAAAGATCTTTTTTGAGATGCTACAGGGAGTAGCATCTAAAAAAAGCTCGTGACTTTTAGTATTAATTAGTCCAAACTAAATCAAACAGTCAGCTTTTTAGCAAACAGCTACCACCTTTTCTCTTTAAGATCTTTTCAGTCATTAAAAGCTAACAGTTATTAAAAAGTTCACAAAAGTATCTTTTCAGTTAGTTGTGCCAAACATACCCTAAGAACTCTAAACTTTTTAATTTTGTAGGTTTCGAGTTTTGCTTGAAAAAAATAAAGATTTTATATGTAGTATTACTTTGATATCAAAGAAAAGAATTTCTAAGTGACAATCATCAACACCAATAATAGGCCTGCACCCCGAAAGAAATCCATCCTTTAAGCCCTTAAAACACAGATACATTGTGCTGAATCTTGAATTGCTAGCTTCATCTAGCTTAGTTCCCAAAATAATTGTAGACCCGGGATTGCTCCTTCGAAGCTCTTCACCGTATTCCCATAGCTTGGAGAATTGCTTGTTAGATGTCCCCTGAATGTGATTAAGAGCCAGCCTTTTTGCTCTATAAGCTTGGTGCGTCGAGACATGAGAATTTAAATTTTTTATCACATCCATCCTCCAAGCCTTAACATTTCTCTTCGGATCTGTCTTGAACTTGTGCAAATACTTATCTGCCAACCACTTGGACTTCATGTTTTTCACCTTAGACTTTGTTGCACATGTGTGTTTTGGTCTGTATTCAGTGACTTGCCAACTACATCCATCTTCCATAATGCGAAGATTGATTCTCCACCCACAATCTTTAGCAGGACAAGTAGCATAAATCCTCTCCTTGTCATTTTTAGAAAATTTTATAGTCCTACTCCTAATTGCATGTGAAGTTACAGCCTTCTGAAATTCCTTTTTTCCACTAAAGATCATCCGTAATTGAAAGGTAGGATCAAAAATTGTGGCTGGGTTAAATATAGGGTCATCTGGTCCCTTCTTCTCCTGATCAGACAACATACTTTCCTCAAATTGTGTACCATGATACACATCTTTATCTACATTGTCCTCAAACAAATGTTCATCATCGGTGCTCTCATGTTCCATGAAATAGTCACTGTCAATCTGTCATACAAGCAGTCTGAATCGCTACCACTATCCCCTGTTTCCTTCTCATTTGAATACTCATCCAGAACAACATCAAGCTCTTCTAACAAATTATCACCATGCATATTAAATATATTGATTTTGGTGTGTTTAAATAATTTAGATGTAGTATATACAGAAAATTTCGAAAAAGAAAAACAAACTGTAATAACTTGGTAATTTAGCAGTCAATCTTTGAAACATAGCAGATCTAAAACAGAACAACAAATACAAGTATTCATCCATATTTCAAACAACTCACAAAATTCAGAAGGCAACTCAACATTATTTAGAAGGTAACTTTCATTTACAGTGCATTCAGAAGGCAACTCAACAAATTAAATTTCAGAAGTTTATGCATTCAATATATACTTACCGTGATGAAAAGCAGGCATATAAACCATTGGATTCCAGTCTTTATCCGTTTGAAGAGAAGACATTTTTCTCCCGTTGAATCTGCTCCTTAATCACATATTCTTCATCTTTAAAATATGAGAGATGTTGAAGTAGTTAGGGTTTTGTCGTATGAAGTGTGCCGTATTTTTAAAAGATTCTGTGGTGCGCCTTAAGTATTGTACCTCTGCCCCACATGGGTAGAGTACGGTACTCCATTTTTTAAATGGGTACCGAAGTTGTAACCTTTTTAAAATAAGGAGTGTTTGAGAGGGAACCATAAACAGGGTATGAAGTCCACGTCAGGTAGCCCATTTGGAAAAAAACTGAACAAGTGACGCTGATGTGTTAATTTCCGGTGGAATTATTACTCTCCCGCCTAAATGTCCTGATGTTGGACAAATATGTTAATTAGAGGATGTATTATGCAAGTAAATGAAGTTAGAGGACTAATATTGGGTACGGTCAAAAGTTACGGGACTAATATAACAAATTTCCCAACATTTAATCATAGCAACAGAAATTAATTGTCATTATAACAAATAAGGTAGATATTATGGTACATACCTTTGTCCACATGGATCAATCAAAATACTCTAGTTGAATTACTTACGTGAAAATTTAAGGTAATATAATGTCCTCGACCAATCAAAAGAATGATAGGCACGACATCTCATTTTTTAATTGGGAACCGGAGTTCTCTCCAACAAACCAATTACTTGTTTGATCCTCAAGATCTTGATGTTCTTCACTGGTTTGGTGTTACAAATTAAAATTGAATTTTGGTTCTAAAACTCTTGTCGACTGACTCTAGCTATAGGGATGTTATAAAATTGACATCATACATGTAATGAGAAAAATAAATCTTTTCTTCCCGATTCAATTGTTCATTCAATTATGAATAGAGAGTGGTTTTATTTAAGAATATGTAAATGGTGAAAACACGTTCTTATGATCTAGGGTTTCGTTTTTGATGGATTAATTAGTCGTAAGTTTAGCCCGATATATCACCCCGCCCCCATTACTATCCTTAGCTATGAGCCTATGACGTACGTAACATATAAGCAAGACATGATTGTCAAGAGAGCATGTAAGGAAGACATGATTGTCATTGTCATTAATAATAAGTTGATTAAGGGGGATATGATCTTGAGGCCAAATATGGCAAAATATATGAGTATCAATTAATAGGAATGTATATCAAAATAGGTTGCTTTTGCTAGCTCAGCTCCCGAAATGGATGCCTATTTAATTTGTTTAAAGGGTTTGGACAGGTTCCAATCATGCACACTATTTCAGTGCGGGTGCTATCCAAGGAACCATTGTATTGTGTAGCCACTGCTTTCATCCCATGTGCGGTTTCTTGTACTGCCTCACAATTTATCTATTACACATAATAATAGAATAATAACCGTAATTTTGGAAATTTAAAACAGGCACGTTTTAATTTTGAAATATTATTTTAAAAACATACAATACTCTAAAACTCTAAAACACTGTGAAGCCTAACGTGTTCAAACCCCAAACATTGAAGCCTATGCAAGACTTGGCGAAATCTAGACATGAAAAATAAATTTCTATTTTTTATTAATACAATTTATTTCTTTGTAGCAAATTAAAGTTAGAATTCTAACTATTTCATATAAGTTTATTAAATGTTTTACTGTTAGGTTTCACTTTTTTTTTTTAATTTTTAAGAACTCGAAAAGCAAAATAGATTACCCTCAATTCTTACTATTAAATTAAAAATATAGATACATCTAAGAAACACACACTTTTTACGGGATACAACACATATATGTTCACCTTTTTTACACCTAGGTTACAAGTTAAAACATAGGCAGACAGTTTTTTTACCTCAATATTACTAATATATGGACGATTGACAAAAAGTGACTTTTTATTCATTTTTCCAAAAATGTGACGGAAAGTACTAAGTCACTAACAGTACAATTAAGACGCTACAATAACAATGCTACAGTGACGACGCTATAGTGATGATTTTACAGTCACACCACCAGTCACTACAGTGACAATTTTAAAGTGACAACACCATAGTGACTCCATTTCACAGTGTCTATCGTCCACCCACATGCCACAGTAACACCGCCATCAGTGACATGTCGATTCCGACCATAGTGACACGTCATCTCCCCATCCCTCCCTATTCCGCCCTAGCACTGCTAACCATCACAGCAGACCACCGTCGCTGGCCATCACCGCATCGACTACGCCCCACCACCGGCTTGACTCCCCGGTCCCAATTCACCTTCCCCCCTCCAATCCCCCAGCCCCCTCCCCATCCCATCCTGACCCCCCATCTCCCCCACCCCATCTCCATGGCCAGCGTCTCATCTCCACAGCCCCACAAAACCCTCACCCAACCTCACCCAGCTACGATGCACCCCAGCCCCACCCAACAACGCCGCACCACAGTCCCACCTAACAACGCCGCACCACAACACCACCCAACAACCCTGCACCACATCCCCTCAAGCCTCGCCCCAGCCACCTCTATACCCCTACCCCAAATTCGATCTGAAACTCAGATTTGAAAATAAGAAGGAAAACCCCAAAATCGATATGGAATCCCTGATTTGCTGTCAAGAAAGAAGAAGAAAGAGATAAAGGGCTGGTCTCTTGATGGTCATCACTAACTTGAAGAAGGTCGACGAGCCTTCGACGAGATGCAGCAGAGAGGAGAACTGACGGCTTGGAGTGTCGGAGAGGATGGCGCTGGCGGCTCTGCGAAGAGAGAAGTCTGTGTCCTATGCAGGGATGATGGAGTGCGAAGAGAGAAGCCTCCGTCCTCCGTCCTGTGCCAATATCGAGTGCGAGTCTGCGAAGAGATACCGTCTTCTCCGAGCGTGGGAAGGGAAATCGACGGGTTGGGGAAAAATGGAATGTTTTAAATGGTCACATTTTTGTTCAAATTCAAAATGGTCATATTTTTGTCTATGCAAACTCTAGAGGTAATATTTTTGGCAATTCTTTCTATGTAGACATACTCACATTTTTTACACCTACTTGCACTTAATGACTTACAGGAAAAGGCATAGCTAGGGGGCAACCTAGGGTCGGACTCACCCCAAATTTTAATTTTAATTAAACTATTAAGGTGAAAAATTTGTGGAAAAAGATTCTAAGAAAAAATCTTTTTACCGACCTACCCCAATATATCACTTAGGCAAAAAATATGCCTACCGCCTACGCCAGTGCTTAGAGGCATTCTTGGTCAACGTTCAAGTTGAGTGTCTTTTCTATGTTTACCCTTTAAGCAAGCGTCTCTAGTGATCTTGGCAAGAATAGTTAGGCCTTTAATATTTAGAAGAATAAATATATACCACTTCATACATGTACAAACAAAATGTAATAAACTTTTTCTTCCTTTGATGATTTACTTCCAAAATACATGTAGAGCTTAGACAATATAGTACGACTTAATGATTGCATAAATTGAAAACAAATCTGCTGTTATAAACTCAAAGTTTTTGAAGTAGTGAATTTGAATTTAAATCTTTTAAATATTCGATTCCCTTTGGGGGTACCAAAGAAAATGGTAGGTTGACTTTTTCATTTCTGTACCGCTTGATGTAGATAGGGTTGTGTTGCTTCACAAAGGCTTGAGAAAGAGTGAAAAAGAGATTGAAAAAAACATGGAGCTGGGATTGGTGGTGTGGCTCACTTGGATGAAATTAAAACCCACCTTAAGTCTCTCCTTTGTCATATGTTTTTGGATGCAAATTTCATCAAGGGAGATGAGAAAAGTCTTGCTCGCCAAGACTCTCCTTACATTTATAAAGTAGCTAAGTTTGGCGGTTGCGGAGCGAGATGATGATAACAAAGACAACGTGTTCGTGTGATGAGAGGATCGAAGCAGCCTGGTAATAGGCGGTGTAAGTCCGGTGAAATTTGTTCTTGGGAACCGATACAACGAAAGCTAACTATAATCAAATCCGGATTTATAAAAGTGCAAGACCCAACCTTGTAAGCGACAGGACCTAGCGTCGTCTAGGGCTAGATTGGCAGGCGGCGCCGTGACTCCTTCATGGCGATCTTGTCCCGAAGGTACTTCAGTGGGCAAAGCTTGCGTGGAAGCGCATGGCGGCGAGCTGCAAGCGGACTGGAGCCTCGGAGAAGACCATCTGGTGAGCACTTCCCCAACAAAGTTTCGATGCAGAGTTCCGTAGCAGAGTTTCGTTTTTGGGATTGCAGCTCCGCAGCAAAGGTACTGCAATTCTCGTTGAAGAGTTCTGATTTGGTGGTTTTGCAATTCCGTTTTTGTGGCCAGTGGAGTGTGCGATCAAAAAGTTCCTCTGGGGCACAATTGCCTTTAGGACGGATTGTTGAGCAAAGAAACAAGGGATATGGAGGCTGCTCGGTTTTGGATTGGTTGTGTTCGTGCAGTATTTTGGCCAAGAGAGGGAGGCGACTCACGGCAGATCAAAGTGATGAAGGAAGAAGATGAAGCTATGCAAATCCACCCCCTCCTTAACCGCCGCCATGGAGGAACCGTGTGTCTAGGGTTTGGAAGACTGCTTTATTTTTTCTAGTTTTTATTTTCAGTCCAGACTATTTTAATATTTCTATTTTGTTCTTCCTATGACAAACTCAGTTTCAAGTTGCACTAGACAAAGATAATACAAACTTTTCAGAAGTATTTACAAAAATAACTTTGTGCTAGATTGCATATTTCAGTGCAACATGAAGTTGATTTTACAACAACATAGTTGAACTGAGGTACTTTGATGTGGATTTTTTTTTCGAACTTGTCTATTTGAGGTGCTTTAATGTGGAATTTTTTACTGAAATTTTGTAAGCATGTTCTTCATGGAGCATACATTACGTCCACAATATTTCAGCTTCAAACTCAATCGGAAAGGCGGTTAAATAAATTATTGAAAATACTGTGTTTTTATACATGTTTTGACACATTGTTTTTTCAATTATTTATTTAACTGATTTTCTGATTGAATTTTATGCTGAAAATTTATTGACATAATCTACACTTCATAAAAAAGTTTCACACGAAAACACCTCAAATAGATAAGTTTGGACGGTGGTTCCTGTGATCATAAATGAGATGTTTGGAAAAGAAGATGCAATTTGCCAACCAAAAGTTATTCGTGATGGGTAACATGTAGGGGCTCAAAGCACCCTGATGTGAATTTTCTCGCACTTAAAATAGATCGTAATATAGTGGTGTAAGTACGAGTATCGTCTCCACAGGGACAGACAAAAGGGAAATAAGAATGAACTAAATTCAGCGATTAAAACGAAATAAAATAAAAGCGTCGTGCGAGATTGATTGGTTGAAAATTAACTAATGCGAATGAGCGAATAAAAATAGTTTGGTTTCTCTCTAATTAACGACGAAGGGAACATGGATTGATTCCGAGGTAACAATATTTCTGGCAGATCAGGTCTAATTACATTAAATTAATTTAATTGATCCTAGCTAATCATTACTAAGTTCTTACCGCTCTCGCGACTTAGAGTACAATAATTTAGGGGACCAGACTGATCTCTCATGCGACAGGATCCTATTATTATTGCCAAAACGAGCGAGCTTACAACCCCTTAATCGCTACCAATCTTTTAGCGAACGATTAAGTGTGTGTGAAGGTGTCCTAGAATAAATTAGATCTCTCTTAAGTTATTGTAGAAGCAATTGTAATTCTAGTGGCCATCTAGGTTACAAGAGATATCAGTTAAATTATTCAAACACAAATTAAACGGCATTCATGCAATTAAACCATCAAGAAACTAGCCATACATCATGATTAACCCAACACCTTCATCAATTCCAAATCCCTAATTAAACTACTCACAATTCATAATTGAAGAATCAAAAGAATTGAGAAGAATAGAATTAATTGTCATTAATTAAAAAGATGAACTTACGAATAATCCCAGAGTCTTGGAGTAAACAATGATAAAAACACAAGTAAATTCGTCCCTAGGCCTCTCCATAATGTTCGTAACCCCCTCAAACGGGATATGGTGGCCTTATTTATAGAAAACAATGAATTCGGGTTGAATTAAGACTGAAACGGGGCACGCATGGCGCCCACGCACGGCGTGTGTGGCGTCTGTGCGTCCGACAGACCCGCACGTCAAAACGTGCCACGCACGCGTGCGTCCCCCCCACGCACGGCCGTGCGTGGCTGCCAGTGAGCTTTCCGTTTTCTCACCTCGGACGCACGACATGCATACCCGGACACACGACCGTGCGTCCGTCTTTAAGATTCTTGGCCGCTACTGCCACGCACGGCCGTGCGTGGCCCTTTTTCTTCTGATTTCTTCGGTTTCTTCCACTTCAAGTGCCCGTTGGCCCCGCGATCATCATGAACCTCCCGGGGGCCTTCTTAACTTCTCAAGCGCCGATATCGGGCCCTAAAAGACCCGATTTCAACTCTAAAAATACCAAAACTCGATCCATCACCCGGCTAACGTGACTTGAGCTAAAACTGAGACTTACAACCCTTAAAGCTAGGGAAAACCGGCAAAAGTCCATCCCAACACGCATCTGATGCGTGTTGAAATATGGACTTATCACACCCTTACAATCGACTCAATCACTTGTTTTAACTCCCAAACTAATCATTCAGTGAGCCCATTAAGAGAGGCTCCACAACAATTTTAAATGGTCGAGAATTGTGCTTTAGTGGGTCAGGCTTTGTAGGGTCATTAAAACCCACCACAGATCTTTATGGTGCCAGCACTGAGGACCCCCTATAAAAAATTGTGAAAGTAGTAATATCCAGCCACCTGTTTGCCAGTGATTAGTATATAGAGAGTATAGATTATAGACTATAGAGTACGTAGTATGGAGTAATGGAGTATTATAGAGTATTAGAATATACGGAGTACCATTGAACTAAAAAGATGGGGCTTTTCCATGCATATCCAAGTTTCTATGCTCTATCGAACCCTTTGAACTCTCTTAACTTCTTAATTTAATCTTAATTCTAAAAATTGTGAGATTCCAATAAAAAAATACCGAGTATGATCGTACTGGGGTGCAGGACATTTTAGATCGAGATATATAGAAGGTGAATCAGTTATATTTAATCTTTGTAATTGAGTTTCATTCCTCTTCCAAAATAAGTGATACTCTAATATCAGATGTTAATTAAAGGTCTTGTATCAGATGTTACAAAGTTCGTGTGCGTGTGATATATTAAGAGCCCGTTTGGTGATTTTTTTTTCCGGCTTATCAGGCTTATCAGTCAGTTTTTTCACCAAACACGTAACTTTTGATTTCGTGCGCTGAATTTTGTAATAAGCAGAAAAAGTAAGGTTGGAGTTACTTTTCTGGCCGTATTGGCTGAAGTTAACGTAGATGACCATTTTAGCTACTTTTACACATAATTTTTTCTTTATTTTATTAATAAAATATATTTTAAATTTAATTTTTTCATGAATCAGTAAAATCAGCCAATACAGCCACTTCAGCCAGAACTTCATAAATTTCAGCAGAATCAGCCTCCGATTTCAGTGTTACCGAACGGGCTATAAGATACTACAAACCTAAAACTTGTTCTGTATTTTTAACTATATGTGGTGTTTGGCCAAGCGGAATCTTTTGTGCACAATGCCACAATCTTTACTTATGGAAAACTCTTTTAGGTTTGAATTAGACTCATTTGGATGGCGAACGACCCATTCTTGTGGCCCCAAACTTTTTATTGATCGACTCAACTGGTCAACCCATGAAGTAGACTGTTAGGCACGCCACGCCACGCCGGCCTGGTCCCTATAGATATAGACAGATGTCAAACCCATGACTATATATAAACTTCCCGACTACACTGGTGTGTAGCCTAATCCGGTATGGACTAATGAGTTTGTCAACATGCATGCCTCCAAAATAGACATCATTGTATCTTCCTTTGGCATTAATTTTTTGGACTTGAGTTTTCATCTGAAAAGATCAAGCTTACACGAAGTGTATAGTTCAGAATCTTATATAATGTTTCATTGTTTTTGTAACGTTTCGTTGTGAGACAAATATTTTTACCGTTCTATTTGAACTTTTTATTTGATACAAAAAGAAACATAAAAATATTGAACTAGTATACTAGCATATGATATCGGAATATATAGTCTACAAAATCAACATCTTAATTGGATTGAACCATTCCTTATAATGGTATGATTGTCAAATGTAAATGTAGTTAGATTGTTTGTTTAACCTCTATGATGTAGGTTAGCTCGTTCCGACCTGTTTGATGCACTTATCCACTATTAAGTTATTTATTTATTCCGAATTCAAATCAAGAGAGTGTAAAAGTATTTATTAAACAATGAGTGAGAATATTGAAATTGAAATGAACGTGCAAGTGCTGGGTGGCGATTGAATTGGTAAAAGATTTAGGGTATGTTTGGGAATTACATTTTGTGGGGAGGGGAAAGTTGAGTAGAGTTTATATATGACCATCCCTTTAGATTTTGGGTTTGCTCAAATTTGGTATGACTGAACTAGACTTTATTAGGAATATACACAAAAAATTTTATCAAAACATACCACCGGGAACCACCTCAAATTGAGGTGGCCGGACCACCCTTTTGTCATGACGTCCTGACCAGAACCCCCCGAAGACAACACCATAAGACGGTGTTTCCGGTGGAATTGTTTGATGAATTTTTCAGCTCAAAATTCAATCGGGAAGGCAGTTAAACAAATTCTTGAAACATACTGCATTTTATATATGTACAAAATGGGATGTAAGAGAAGAGCCGCCACTTGAAGTGGTGGTTTTTGTACTATAAGAGAAGAGCCGCCACTCGGAGTGACGGCTTTTGTGAAGTAATACAAGAGCCGCCACTTGGAGTGGCGGCTTTCCTTAATCGTGGTTGATTCCAGCAGTATTTTGGGAATTATTCTTAACCCGACAGTATTTGTGGAATAATTTATTTAATTGGCATTATTCCGAGAAAGAACTCCTTTTATTTAAATAATATTTAAGGATAACTCAGTTATTTAAATATAAAATATCGTGTGTTAAGTGAATATCGAAGCGATTTTTAGGAAAAATATCAAAGCAATTACTAAATTATCTAAACACTAAAAATCACGAAATCCAATATATTATCATCGCAAATTATACCGTGGGATCGGCCCACCTTTCGCATGGTGTGCCGATCCCATTTTAGGCAAGCTCATTTTTCTTTTCTTTCTTCCTGGAGCAACGTAAATGTCTTTTCCATTGCTTTTCTTTCTTTTTTTGTTCATCAATTCTGTTCTTTTTCCATCAAATTAAAATACTCAAAATGTAATGACAATCATACTTTTCTTTATCTTCATCTTAAATTATAATTGAATCTATTTTTTAATTCTTTAACAATGCATAACAAAAAGTTTATTAATCTAAATAAAATAAGTATACTGCAATTAATATTCATACACTATTTTTGTTTTTCTATTAATTTTTATATTCATATACTTTTTTTGTAATATACTTTATATATTCATACACTTTTTTGTTATATTTTTTATATGGAGAAACTTTTTCTATAATCTAACTTTTTTATCACTTTTATATATTTTTAGAGGTTTATAAGACATTGAGTTTGTTTATTTTGATTTTTGAAGTTACATTTGATATTATATCATGAAGTTATATTTTCTTCCGCGCGAGTTACATTTTATTGTACGCGAGTTACATCTTAATATACGTGAGTTACATCTTCGTGTATGTGAGTTATATTACAACACTGAATAAACCCCTGCTATATCATTTTTATAGCCCTAATATTAAATATAAAACATATTCACTATTTAAAAAAAGTAATTAAGCTATTAGGATCTATTTTTCATTGTTTTAATTGAAATCAATGTTGATGACATATATATTATTCTTAAACACACACAAAAAAAAATTCAAATTTTCAACAAGTTACATTATGTATACATCTAAGTTATATTTGCCATCAACACGAGTTACATTTGTAATAACATGAGTTACATTAAAAAATCAACACCTGCTATTGAAACAATTTTTTTTTAAATATTATTTTTTATGGTCATGATATTAAAAACAAAACATATTCACAATTTACATAAAGCAATTGTGAAATTAGACTCTTTTTTTCATTGTTTACGTTGAAATCAATATTGTATTTCTAATACTATGTATTTGACAAGTTACATTTCGAATGCACTTGAGTTATATTAATCATTAATGTAAGTTACATATCTTTACTCGCGAGTTACACCATTCATGCTACTGGGACAAAAAGAAAGAAAAAACAGTTACTGTACACGAGTGTACTGTTCACGCATGTACTGTCCACGCAATTTTTTTTTTTAAAAAAGGGTAAAGCTACGTTGTTTTGGAAGTGGATCAGCATGCTCACCGTGAGATGATACCACGGTATACGAACTGTATTATCATGATTCCTACACTAAAGATGTAACTTTAATAATAAATCATCTAGATCTATGTTTCCAAATTTATAATTTCCAAGATTTTTTTCCCGGAATAATGCTAATTAAATAAATAATTCCCAAAATACTGGTGGATGAAAAACAATTCCAAAAATACTGTTGGGATTAACTGTGGTTAAGGAAATCTGTCACTCCAAGTGGCAGCTCTTCTCTTATGGCACAAAAGTTGCCACTCCAAGTGGCGGCTCTTCTCTTACATCACAAAAGCCGTCACTCCAAGTGGCCATAATTTGAGTATAGCTATCTGGCAGAGGCAGGAAACTAAAGGAAGAAACGTGGACCTAGAGGAACAATGATTGCACTTGAAGTAGTGTTTTGTGTGTTGTAAGAGAAGAGCCGTCACTTGGAGTGACGGCTTTTGTGCTATAAGAGAAGAGCCGCCACTTGGAGTGATGGCTTTTGTGCCGTAAGAGAAGAACCGTCACTTAGAGTGACGACTTTCCTTCAGGAGCGGCCGTGTATATTTGAAGGCCTAGGGGCGAATAATTTAAAATGGGTCTACTTTAAAAAAAATTATAAAACTTGGTTCCGTCTAAATTAACATGTAAAATAATAATATTTGAAAAACTTTATAATAAAGAAAATACTTGAATTCATTAAATTAAACATAATCAAATCATGTTTTAAAAATAACCAAATAAAATTTACTTAAATACATTTCTTGTTGCACATTGTGAAGCAAAGTCATAAACTATAGCTTCATAATCAAGCTTTTCTAATACATTATTATGCTCAATGCTTAATATAGCTAATCTATTAATCCTTTATTGAGACATCGTTGATCGTAAATAGTTTTTTAGAATCTTCAACATTGAAAAACTTTTTTCCGCAGTGTCCACAATTACCGGTACTGTCAATAATATCCTATAAGTAATTGTTGTGTTCGGATAGCAACCCATAGTATTCACAAACGGGAGTTTCCAAGTAATTCTAATTCAATTAGCCGCAATGAGCTTCCGTATTCTCTGGCATTTGGGTTGTTGGGTCGGACAAAACTAGTAGTATAACTTTAAAAACTCAGCTTACTCAAACCTAATATAAAGAAAAAATTATGGGTCTAAATTTTTTTCACTTTTTTGGGCCTATGTACCGTGCCCCCGTGCCCCCACACAGGGCCGCCTCTGCTTTCCTTAAACACGGTTAACTCAACAGTATTTTGGAAATTATTTTTAACCCAACGATGTTTTGGGAACTATTTATTTAATTAGCATTCCACAAAACTTAATTTGCAATACATTTTTTTACTCGCTTTCCCTTCCCCCCATTTCCATAATCTTAAAAGTTAAAACCCTTCCCCTCTTCCCCCAGCCTTTCAAAAGTAAGCGAGGCATGTCTTTGGGGAAAGGCGGAGAATCCAAGTCCATAGAAGTTGAACAGCGAAGTTACCTAAATTTGTTTTGTTTATTAAAATGGTTAATTTTCTTTATCACAGCTAAAAATTGATAGAAACAGTACGGCTATGTTTGGAATTCAAACGACTAATTAACAAAAGTAGGTATATTGAGTTTGTAGTTTGGATTAGTACTACCACAGTACCACTCCCATAAAAAAGTTAGGTCAACTTCCTTTTACCGTTTCAAAAACTTTATCATTTCCATTTAAAAATTAAAAATACAGAATATATAAGTAAAGTTATTTATCTCTTGTTTGCACTAATATCAACCACTACTTTTATTTTGGTTATATGTTTGAATTTATTTCATACTCCCTCCGTCTCGCTAAGATCGTTCCATTTTACCTTTTCAAGAAATCTCACTAGATTGTCTCATATCAAATTTGCTAAAGTTTGTGTAATTTTAAATGATTTTTACTTTTTCTTACTTTATCAATATAATATCAATCACTCACGTTCACTTTTTTGAATAATCGTGCTACATTCTTTTCACTCACGTCCATCTTCTTAGTTACTTCTTACTTCTTAGTAACTAAGAAGTATATCTTTTCAAAATTTGTTCTTTGTTTTTATGCCTAGCATTTTTAAGTTCCAAATAGACTCTATTGTACGGAGTATATGCAAGTGTAAGGGACAGGTGGACCGGTAAAAAGTTGTCGTGCGTGTTGATATTATTATTTAAAATATCCACTCAAATTGGAATAATTAATAATTGTGCAACTCCCATATGGGCTACCATGCGAAAAAGAAAACTCCCAATTCACGTGGTCAAACTATATACGAACTCTTTTTTTTTTTGAGAAAATTAACCTATATATACTTCACATTACAGATCTTCACTAGCAATTCTAAATCCATCGTCATAATTCTAGCTAATAATAATAGCAATACATAATAATAATATGTATATTTAATTTGTAAAATAAATGGGAAATCAATTGATATTCGATCGGTATATATGTTGCCCTCCAAACCACAAAACCGTCAGGCATACTAATTTAATCACACCAGAAAAAGAAAAAAAAAGAAGCGAAGATTTGGAGGAGTAGAATTGAAGCATAATAAATAAATAAATTAAAAACGAAAAAAAGAAACATAAATTTGAGAGAAAGTAAATAACCAAACCTCATAATTAACGCGTGTGTGTTTAATTAACCATTTCATCAAACTACACAACACAAGTGGAGTGAATGTTAATCAACTTGTGGCGTCGTGCCGATCATCTCCGCCGCCGTGGTGTGAATGAGACCCGCTCACCGGAGAGTCAGACACTCCGCCGCCGCCTGACCGGTAATTGCTCAGCCCGGCAAACATCCCCAACTGTCCTTCTCCCAACCCATTCCCCCCTCCGCCCAGTTGCTGACTAGGCATCAGAGCCACCGGCGTCGGGAAATTCATAAAATGCAACCCACTCGACATTGTGCCTCTATACAAAGCCGCCGCTGCTGCTGCGGCGGCGTTATTGCTGACGCCGGACGGAAATGTCCATATCGGATCTCCTGCGGAGCTGCCGGCCATGACTTGGTTGGCCGGATTCGCCAGCATCCAGAAGTTGGCCGCCGGCGCGTGGTTCGTAGGCATGGTCCCAACACTGGATTGCAGGAGATAGCTCCCCATTTGGTGTTGCAAATCCTGCTCCGGGTGCCTCCGTTTCCGGCCGATGTCCTCCTCCTCCGCCGCCGTCGGCTCCATCAGGTCAATGGAGCTGTCGCGGATCTCCTGCTTTGCCGCCGCAGACAGATGCATATTCGCAGCCTGGAAATTCATCAGCGTGGTGGCGGAGCTTTCTGGGGACAGCCCCGGGAAGAGCGTCCGGCGCTGGGACGACATGGAGAAGTTAGGGTTGAAGTACTGCGACCGGAGCTGCGACGGAACCGACATGCTGGAGCCGGAGCTGCGCAAGGAAATATTAAGGGACGTGAAATTGGCGGGAATGGTACCCGTCCCCGTGGCGGCGATCACGGCCGGCTCCGCCTGCTGGAGGAGCCACTCGATGGTTTCACCGTCGGACTTGTGGCCGAGCTCGCGGGTGAGCTGGAAAACGCGGGCGGCACAGAGGGCAGGCATGCGAATGCGCCGCCCGCGTCCATCTACTTTGGTGTGGCGGTCCTTGGTAGACGTCCGTTTCGGTGGCGGCTTCTTCGTCGTCTCAACTAATGCGGAGGAGGAGGTGGGGGCGGGGGCGGAGTTATCCACGGTGGAGATTGCTAGTGACGGATAAGGAACGATGGCGGTGGCGGAGGTGGAGCTGGAGCATGCTTCGTCTTCCTTCTTCTCAAGTAACTGGAACGGAAAAGTGGCCGGGCGGCTGTGGTGGTGGTGAAGGTGGAGATGGTCATCACCTCCTCTCTCCATGCGCACGCGCGTGACCGCTGATATATCTGAATCAAAACCCACCACAACTAACTAACGGTGATGAAAACCCTGGGAAGATCTATCAATCTATTATTCCTCCTCTATTCTCTCTCAACATTTCATCATGTTTTCTTTCAAGATGATAAAAAACAGTGACAAAACCTTTTTTAAATTCTTGTGGGCTCTATGTATCTAACTCTAGCTATACCTCCACACTCAATTAATTGATATGGAAAATATAAGATGTACTACGTATTATTATACTTGTATATTTCTCAAATTAATTAGTTTCTCCCTCTCTTCGTTATTTAGAGCATACAATGACATAAGAAAGGTAAAAGTACAAAAATAAATTAATGACATCTTTCTTTTCATGCTCTTATATAGGTAGTACTCCATTTGTTAAGCAATTTTTTTCCAATAAAATCAATCACATTGTCTACCGTTAGACGTTGTAGTTGAAATTATGAAACAAAACATACGAAAAACATATAATATAAGATCATTCAAATAAGGAGATATACTTCGTATATGTTACTCCCTCCATCTCATCCTAAGGTTCTCACTTCTTTTTTTAGACATTCTGTATAAAGGTTTTCATTTCAAGTTTAGGAAATAATTAACACTCCTAAATCACAATTGAATCATCAAATATCTAAAATACTACTCCCTTCGTCCCATTTTACTTAGTCAATCTTGACTTTTCAAGTCAATGGTGTCGAACTTTAACCGATTATATGTTTATATAGATAAAATATTAATAATATGAAAATGATATGAAAATGTTCTTTGTTAAAAATACTGTCATAAAAGTATAAAATTATTAAATTTTGCATAAATATATTAGTTTAAATAATTGGTCAAAATTTACCATTTTTGTCTGGAAAAGTCAAAGATGGCTAAGTAAATTGGGACGGAGGGAGTACTACATACATCTATAACATCAATGTTGTCATCAATGGACTCATTTATTATTGTTTAAAAAACTATGTCTTTAATTGTGGGTACTAACAATAAAGCAACTAATTTAGTAGCTCAAGCTTCCATAAAGGCCCGATGTCATTATGTAAATAAAAATGGCTTGCCGGTTGTTAACAAATTGGTCCACCACAGAAACAAGACTTCAGAAGTTTAGGGACTTGAGAATGGAACAAAAATGGGGGGTTCCATCATCTTCCAAAAAGAGATGTAACTGTGCTCAAAAGATAATTAGCTCGTTTCCAAACATATCTTGGTGGAATTCAATATATGCCATTAGATATTATAGAATGGTATTCCCATTTGTTTTGCAATTGAAATTGGATAGAGAAATAAAAGATCGAGGATAACGGGAGAAAAGTCCTTTTAAGTAACAAAGGTAATGAGTGGGAATTTATTCATAGGAGATGAGCTTTAAATTCGGAAAGCTAAAATTTTAACAAAGGAGAAAACGGAAATGTGTGCGTGCTTTTAATCTGCCTTTTTCACAAATATTAATTGGAGTAGTGCGTCAAAAAAGTAAAAATAACGATGTACTGTGGCCTTTTAGTTTGACGTGTCCCGTTTCTTTTTTTTTTCTTTTTCTTTTTGGTTCCGTAAAATTATTAAAGAAACTGACTCGACTTATATAATAAATGAAACATAATAGGGGCATGACTTTTGTGTATATTTGATAGGAGTAAAAATGAGAGTGAAAAACGTAAAACAAATGACAAAATCATTTGGGACATTTTATTTAATTTGTATTTTAGTCTAGCAATATGTTTTAGGTGAGTACCCATTTAAAAAATGGGGTACCGTACCTATCATTCACTTGAGTGGTCCACATCATTATATCATTTTAATTTAGATTTAAATAATTCAACTGCAACACTCTCATTGGTCCATGTGGACAAATGTACGGTATCTTTTGGTACGATTGAATCTACCTATTTTTTATTGCGTATTGAATATATTAGGTTGAAGGTCAGATATTAAATCAATCACCTGCTCGTCCTAGCAATTCTGCACGCATGGACACTTGCACATATGGTAAAACTTTTTCAGAAATACTGTCAACTAAGGTATCCAAAAAGCTTCATAATTAGTTAGACACAGAACTCTTAATTATTACTTGAATAGTTTCCATTTCATATATATATATATATATATATATATATATATATATATATATATATATATATATATATATATATATATATATATATATATATATATATATATATATATATATATATATATATATATATATATATATATATATATATATATATATATATATATATATATATATATATATATATATATATATATATATATGCCAGAACAACACGTAAAAAAATACGTATGTTAGCATTATTTGTGCTGCGATGCAACATTTTAAATTATTGGAGGAGGCAAATGCAGCCATTATTATGCCCATTGGTCCGCCACTATTATTATTATTTATTTATTATTATAAAATATTAAGGTTTAATTAATAATTGCACATGTAAGCGTTTCCCATATCTTACTTATTCTGCAAGTCTCTTATTATATACGATAGTATACCAGTATTAAAAAATTTATTATCTCTCTTTTCTCTACTTATTGTTTTTAACATCAATTTCAATCATTAAAAAGAAATTTTCACTTTCATATATTAAGTCATGTTATCTTTTGCCAAAAAAAGTTGGACTTCAAACTCTTTTGAAATTAAGGATTCAGAATGATTGCATCAATGTAAAGTGCACATAAATATTGAAATTTGTAACATAAATGAGCTTTAACTATATGATAAGGAAACTATATTGATTATCAATAGCTAGGCGGAGGACGTGTCCTGCCAATTTTGAATTTTGTAACATAAATGAGCTTTAACTATATGATAAGGAAACCCTCTAATAATATTTTATAAATGTATATATCTTTGTTATATATGTAGTTGCCGAGTTGCGTAGCTATCCAAGAACTGAGTAATATTATCTCATTAATCAGTTGCGTAGTTCTTGTAGAAATATACGTAGTAATGTTTATGAATCGTGTAGGTGGAGCGGTATATTGTGGTGGGCCGATATAATTTTTCTATTACACATTTTTTAATCAAATAATTTCATTAAAATTGAAATTTGGGACGGTTCAGGGACTAGACTAGCCCACCTAGCTATGTTGTCGGTGTTTCAATTCTACCGATACAGTGATAGAGACCTACACAAAAAAGGGTTGGCCACCCAGCCTGCTCGCATACATGGCAGGGCTTGGGCATATACTTAACCACGAGGCCGGACATTCTCAATGTAGACAAAGACATGATCACGTCATGGCGACATTCTTCTACCTTCTTGGGTAATTTCCATTAAAGTGATATGGTGATTCATAAATGGATGCTCGTAGAATATTTAGGAAAGCTACAATAAACACTAAAGTAGGAAAAAAAATACAGGAACAAGAAGTGGTAATGAGTTTAGACGCCAGGAATAGCGTGTTGTTGTTATTGAACTTCAATGGACGACTCCCTATTGGGCTAGTAGTAGCTTGGGCTGGAAGACTGGCCTTCTTGCGCTCTTCCCTTCCTGGACTTGTGTCCATCTACTAGGCATGTTGGTTGGACCAGTTCGATCTCCTTGGTTGCTGAGCCCATTGGTGGAGGCTTGTCTTGTGAAACAATGATCTATGTCTTGGGCTTGCTACTAGGCCTGGACTCGTGGTCCGATTTTTGAGCTTGACGATTGTAGGTTCTTCTTAGCCTAGTCCCGTGACCCTATTAAAATCACACCATACAAGTGAATCATGAAAAAACCAATGTTAATAAATCATTTGTTAATCCTTGTGAAAAAACTACTCCTTCCATCTACCGAAGTTTTGCTAAATTTCTTTATTTAGTTATTCCAAAAAAAAAATCACATTTACATTTAGGTATAAAATATAGTTAAATATTTTTCTCTCCGCCTATGTACAAGCTTCAGTAACAAAGATTTTACTTTATTATTCCACATATATTAAAAATTTGGTCAAATTTTGTATTAAGTTTTTTTTTTTAAATTACTGTATGATGGAAGCATTTGACCTCCAAAATATAGGTAGCATCTAGGTGGAGTATATAATGTGTACGGTGTATGGTAGGTACGTTTTTGTGGTTAACATGGTTCCATAGGATTATTCCAAAACTTACCATGTCCCTACTCTGAAATTTGAATCCAATGACTACAGAAGGGCTTGTTTCTTTTATTGTGGTTGGACACAGCCTTTGGTTCAGACTCCACGTGAGCTGCTCTTTATATCATTCAACCCACAAAGACAAAAGGTGTCCACTGTCCAGCATGGCCCACAATCCAAGTTCACTGAAATATATTAGTACCTTCACAAATAATTTTCATATTCTACTCCCTAGTTTTTTATTTTGAAGAAAGGTAAATACACACTACAAAAGAATAGCAGGGTCGACGCAGATTTTTTATAGAGATTCACCAAAATGCATAATAGATTTGACATGGATACACCAAATCCATGTCAATGTCATTGTATTACGACTCACGAGATATTTTGCACGAAATTATCGATCAATCTATGTCAAATCTGTGTCAACCCAATTATCGTCTATAGAGATGTGTTAATTGGAAATAAAGTTAACCACATCATAGTCAGGGGCATAACCCTCCTTTCACCTTAAACACGCTTACTGAACAGCAGTAGTTTAATAAGATTTAGATTAAAATGGACGAAAATTTGTGAATCACCTCTTTCTTTAGTCAATAGGGATCTTGAAATGATTACAAGAAAAAAATAGCAATAAATTAATAGACTTGGAAAGGGATATTTAATCAATGCCAGTTGGGTCCCATCTTATTCAAACTAAACTTTTTCTTTTGCCTTTGTTCTGCATGCCCTTTGCAGTTGGGGCTTTGGGCACTTTTGGGTTTCCCTTCCACCTTCTCACTTTGTCATGTTTAGTAGGGGAGAGAAATATATGAGGAAATAATAGTGGAAGAAGATTATTTACTTATGGAGAATAAAAAAGCTATTAACTTTGAGTAAAGTTATTACTAAGGGGTGAATGTTTATTTAACAGAATTAATTGAGAAATAAAGATTTCAAGGAGGAATTAAAGGAGAAAAAACTTTAACAAAACAAAAAATGCTGTAAGTTTCTTTGTGGCCCTTCAGCTTTTGGGCCTCTCTCTTTGTTGGTTCAAATATTTTAAGGTCACTCTATTTCGCATTGGCTTTTTCTATTTTTATCAGACTGACTGGGATAACCTTAAA